GCTGTGGTGTCACAGCTCACGGCAACCTCCAGCTCTTGGGCTTAGGTGATTCTCTTGCCTCAGGCTCCCGAGTAGCTTGGACTATAGGCCCCTGCCACAGTGCACAGCTATTTTTCGTTGTAGTTTGGCCAGGCCAGGTTTGAATCTGCCACCTTCAGTATTTGGGGCTGGCACCCTATTCACTGAGCAACAGGCGCTGCCCAAGCACATAAAGTTTTAATTTTTTAAGTTCAACTTATCCCTCTTTGATCATTTGGCTTATGGTGTTGTATCTAGGAACTCATGGCCTAATCCCAGGTCATGAAGATTTACACCTCTGTTTTCTTTTCTTTTGGTTTAAATCTATGATTCATTTTAAAGTAGTTTTTGTATGATGTGAAGTAAAGGTTGAAATTCACCTTCTTACATATCAATAGCCAATTATCTCAGCCTGAATTGTTGAAAAGACTATTTTTTTTTTTTATTGAATTGTTTTGGTATGTTTGTTGAAAAGCAATTGGCTATAAATGTAAAGGTGTAAGTGATTACTTAATGTAGCATTCACCCCTAATTCCAACTCTAGATTCCATAAGGCCTTTTTACTTTTTTGACTGAATGAATATTCTGAAAGTTTGTTCTGGAACCATATCAGTAAATATAAAACACTAGCACAAAACAAATTTCCCCTTAATCAATTGCATTCTTATTGCAATCAGTGTGTACATGTATTCATGTATATGAATTATGTGTGCCTCCAGTGGTGTGTGTTAATAAAAAATTATTGTGAGGTTAGATAGAAGCTAGAACATTTTCCCATTTATCTGGAACTTCAGTACCTTAATATTTGGGCGTTTTTTCATCATTTAGTTTTATTTCATAGTCATAAGCATAACTCTGCAAGCCAGCTAAACATGGAAGGAAATTAGGAAAATATAGGACCCAAAGAACTTAAGAGCACAAAAATTACAGGATCTTGTGAATAAATGGGATAGAAGGGTGCTCTCCTGAGCTACAGAAAGAACTGGTTGTTAAGATACAATATTAAGTTAAATTTATTGACAGTTGTCCAGTCAGTAATGGTGATCTTCTTGCTGGTCTTGCTGTTCTGTACTCAAAGGGCTTCATAGCTTCCAAGCACTTGTGCCCCCTTCCCTTTGCCAAAGACCCCATGCTTGTCATCCAACCACTCAGTCTTGGCTGTGCAGATGAAAGCTGGTGGATTCAGAAGTTGCTATGGACAAGATGCCAGGACTTGTATGCTTCAGAATGAAGTTCTCATTATCCAATTTCTCCCTATAGAAAGACTTGCTGCTAGTGCTATTATGTCATGTAATGTCACCATCCTGGAATAATTCCGTGAAAGCAGGAACCCTTATATAACCAAATTCTCTCTCTCTAGTGCTTAGCACGTGAAAGTTTTCTGCTGTCTTTGGAACTTTGTCTGCAAACAGTTCAAAGGGGACATGGCCCCAGGGCTTGCCATAGGTGGCAATACTGAAAAACATGGTGGAGTTGACCATGGTAGCAGGAGACCATGGGAAGCTGCAGCATCTGCAAAGCCTATTGGGGCATTTTTGAAAAGAAAATCTTTCTTGTTGGATTTGTTCTGCCAAGAGATCCAGCAAATTTTAGACTTTTATATCACTCATGTTCCTTGTGTAGTCTTTTGAGAAACATTAAACCAAGATCTCTTAAGTGATTTCCATGCAGAATTAATGCTTCCCTTGACTTTTGCCAAATGCTGTGATGCATTTCTGTAGCAGATGCCAGAACGTTTAGAACTTGTATCTGGAAAGAAGTCAAAATTTTAAGACAGAAAGCATTTGTGCCTGGGGTAATGTAATGACCCCACCTGTATCATTTTCTTGTCTTCTGGATGTTTTTATTGTCTGTTCAGTAAGGCCCAGGCTGATCCTCCTTCTATTTTTAAAACTTTTTTATGAAACACAGTTTTAATTTTACAAGACGAGATATCCCTCCAAGTTTCAAAATATCTGTTCTTCAGCATAAAATGTTTTGACAGGTACCTAATGGCCTAGCACTTTAGCATCCATGGTTTGGGCTTAGATTCAGAGAATCAGAGCCATAAAACCATAGTGTAATTAGATGCTACATAAATTTGTATTTCTGTATTCTAGGTAAACTGCTTTTTTCCCCTTTTCCATATTTTGACAACGAATTCAACTTGTTAACATATCACTATAAATAGAAATACTTAAATGCTGGATTTATTAGCTTTGATATTTTACTAATAGTCTAAGAGGAAGAGCAAAAAGGACCTAGTATTTATTGAGTGCCTACTGTATTCCAAGTATTATCCTAGATATGTTTATATCTCTAATCTCATTTAATCCTCACAGCCCCTCATTGTTGGTATTATGATCCTGGTTTTAACGATGAAGAACTTTAAACAAGTCAGATAACGATACTTTATGCTTGTGTGGGGCCTTTCATGTCATAATTCTAAAGTATCATCTGACATTTGGGGATGTCCAGTTATAAAAAAGAGAAACTATTGTAATTTATCTCCATGTTTGCAGAGTTGAGGCTAGAAAGAGAAGACAAATGTAGTGTTCCTCAACTTTTGTTCTTATCTTTGGGAAACAGTGAACAGAGATAAGGGACAAGTAGGCAACATACAATACATTTATTAGGGGGAAGGCTTTGTAGTTCTCAAATACAACTCGCACCGAAACAATTGGATATCCATATGCAAAAATGGATATGGATTGACTCATACCTTATATTACATGTAAAAACTAAATTCAAATAAATTATAGACCTAGCGATAAAACTTAAGACTATATAACTATATAAAAGAAAATTTATATAACCTTGGGTTAGGCAAAGATTTCTTAAACATGATACCCCAAAATATCGATGAGTTGGACTATCTTAGCCTGTTTTGTGTTTCTGCTACAGAATACCTGAGCCCATACAGACTCCACAAGGAACATGTGTGATAGAAAAGTCTAAAATTTGCTGAATCTCTTGGCAGAACAAATCTAACAAGAAAGATTTCTTTTCAAAAATGCCCCAATAGGCTTTGCAGATGCTGCAGCTTCCCATGGTCTCCTGCTACCATGTTAATTTATAGAGGAAAGAGGTTTATTTAGCACACAGTTCTGCAGGAGCTCTAAAAGGAGCATGGGTGGCTGAAATAGTGACACCTTTGCTTTCTGATGGTTTAGTGTTCACAGACTTTTACAGACGTTATTAAAAATATTTTATAAAATTACCTTTAGCCTATATGTATAAGGTGTATATATGAAACATAAATGAATTTTGTTTTACACTTCGGTTCCATCCAAGGTATCTCATTATGTATATACAAGTATTCCAACCCCCACCCCAAAATCTGAAATACTTCTAGTGTCAAGCATTTTTGGGTAAGGGATACTCAACAGGTATAGACCTGGAGGTTTTTTGTAGATATCCCCTAGCAAATTGAGGAAGTTATATTTTATTCCTAGTTTGCTGAGAGTTTTTATTGTGAGTGGATGTTGGATTTTTTCCAATGCTTATTAAGCATCAATTGAGATGAATGCTATCTTTTTTTTTTGTCTGCTGATAAGGTGTACTATATTGTTTGATTTTTTAAAAAAATTACTTCAGATTAATATAAGGATACAAATGGTTAGGTTACATTGTTTGCATTTGTTAGGTAAAGTTTAAGTTATAGTTGAGTGCTTCACCCAGAGGGTGTGCTTCAATAGAGCACAATAGAGATATATTCTTTTAATTCTAAGTATTTGGAAAAAGATGTATTTTCAGATGGATTTCTGTTATTGATTGCTTATTTGATTTTTGGGTAATATATATATATTTAGTATGATTTTAGCCATTTTTCATTTGGTTAGATTTGTTTTCTGTGGTGTATACTGATGAATGTTCAATGTGCCCCAGAAAAAAATGTACATAACGTTGTTGTACAACTTACTGAAGTGGTCTGTAAATGTAAATTAGCTCAAATTGGTTGATAGGTTTTTCAGGTTGGCTATATACTTTCTGATTTGGGGACATGAGGAGAATCTATTTTTCTGTTAGTTACTGATAAAGGAATCCTGAATTACACAGTTAAAAGTATGGATTTGCTAGTCCGCCTTTCATTTCTATTAAGTTTAAGTTCTTACTTTGAAGTTCTGTTATTAGGGGGTAGATGTATTTAGGATTGTTATATTTCTATTGATCACTTGATTCTTTATCATTATGAAATTTTCTTCTCTATATCTGGTGATATTCCTTGAGTTCTGAAGTCTAGTTTGACAATAATATAGTCACTCTGAGTTTTTTTATGATTGTTTATATGATATTTTCCTTCTATCCTTTTATTAACCTAAATATATATGTACAATTGTATAAAAATTTATGAATAATTACATAAAGAGATTATAGGTACATATAATTATATATCTACACGTAACGATGTCTGATTTATATCTTTATTATTATACATCTGTATCTATATATAACCACATAGATATATAATGATATAGCTATATATGGCATCTATATATAGATATATTACATGATATATTTATTAATTAAAGATACAGTCTGCTTGTGTCTTTTATTTAATTCAGTATAACATTTTTCTTTAATTAGATTTTTAAGATATTTTCAATTAATGTAATTATTGATGATGTTGGATTTATATCTACTGTGTTGCTGTTTGTTTTATATTTACCACATTGTTTTTATTTCTCATCTTTTCCTGTTTTTGATAGAATTAATACTTTTGTTTTCATTTTATCTCAATTATATATTTATTAAAAAATGTGTTAGGAATTGCTTTAGGGTTTATAATAAACATTTTTAATGTATCATATCATTTTTGATTTACTGACAACACGATTCAAATGCTTCACTTTATTTCTGTGAGGAACCTCACTTATAAATGGAAAATGTTTTACAGTGTAAGTCTCGTTAATTATTAGATTTATATGCTTAAAAGGTGAGGTTGTATCTTTATTTTCAACTCCTGCCATTTTTATCAACAAAAATCTCTGGATTCTTTTTAGGACTGTGAGGATATGGGAAGTTGAAAATCCAAAGAAGCAAAAAAGTGTCTTTAAGCCACGGACAATGCAGGGTAAAAAAGTTATTCCCACTACGTGCACATATAGTAGAGATGGAAATCTCATAGCAGCTGCCTGCCAGAATGGAAGCATACAGATCTGGGACCGAAATTTAACTGTAAGTCAAGAGCGTTTAAATATTCTTTCCTTAGAAGATAACTACCTTATAAAGACAAACATCATCACACTGTATCCTGTGATAGAATTAATGTACACAATTATGATCTAATAAAAAATAAAATAAAAAGACAAATATCATGTTAAAATATTATGAAGGTCAATTTCCTGAGTTTAGACCTAATTTAAACTTTAGTGTTAGTTGATCAAACATTGGAACTTTTGCAGTAAACAGCATTTCAGCAAACATTCCAGCTCAGTACTTTCCAGTGTATATTAGATTTTGCTTTTAAAATAAATTTGCTGGCTCGGCACCTATGGCTCAACTGGCTAAGGTGCCAGCCATATACACCTAAGGTGGTGGGTTCGAATCCAGCCCGGACCCGTCAAACAACAACGACGGCTGCAAGCAAAAAAAAAATAGCCGGGTGCTGTGGCGGGCGCCTGTAGTCCCAGCTACTTGGGAGGCTGAGGCAGGAGACTTGCTTGAGCCCTACCCAGGGGGATAGCTTGAGGCTCTGTCTCAAAAAAAAAAAAAAATAATAATAATAATAAAATAAATTTGCTCTTTTGGTATAAAATTTAAAGAGCACAGTATAGTTTATTGTATGGAATTTCAATTTATTTGATTTTGAAAGTGATTAATTTGATAGTAATATAAAACAAGACTAAGCAAAACCTTTGAAAGAATACCCTTTGAAAGATTTAAGAAAAATACAAAGACCAGGATAATCTTATCACCTTTCTTGTGATTTTTCCATAATAATTTAAATAATATTTTGTTTTAATATTCTGTCATGTTCCATTTGAATATGTTTCACTTTTTTCAATACAATTTTAGGTCATTATTAAATAAATTTGAAATTGGAGGGGATCATAGAATCTATAGAAATAATGGATTCTGTGAATTACCTATAAGCTTTAAAAAAGGGTTTTATTGTATGTATAGATGGTAAAATTTTGGAATGACGGTAAATTGCCTGTGTTAAAATAAAATTCTATTCAAATGTTATAATTTGGATATCTTTTTTAATGAGAAAGTCTGGTCAGATAATAAATATTTATTAAATATGTACTATGTGCTAGACACTATTTTATTTTATTTTTTTTTTTATTTATTTTGGAGACAGAGTCTCGATGTATTGTCCTCGGTAGAGTGCTGTGGCATCACAGCTCACAGCAACCTTAAACTCTTGGACTTAAGTGATTCTCTTGCCTCGGCCTCCCAAGTAGCTGGGACTACAGGTGACCACCACAACGCCTGGCTATTTTTTGGTTGTAGTTGTCTGGCAGGCCAAGGCTGGGTTCCTACCCATCAGCTTCGGTGTATGTGGCTGGCGCCCCAGCCGCTGAGCTACAGGTGTTGAGTTGCAGATACTATTTTAGCTCTGAGAATACTTATCAAAAATTTCTGCCCTTACAGAGTTTTCATTCTAGGTTTAAAAAACAAATTAGAAAAAAAAAACAGTCTATTCAGCTTTGTCCATCAAGCATTCGGATTTTGAGAGGGACCCCGGGAAACATAGTTGTCTTTTCAGGCAAATGTGTTAAAGTTAGTTGTGTTGGAAGGAGGTAAAAAGTAATGATGTGGGTAAAAATTCATGCTGATAATGCTGGAAATATCTTTGGCATTTTCTGTTTGTCAGATCTTTTTATTTCTGTTTTCATCTCCATTATAAACCCCATAAAGCTTCATAACACCACAGAGATTTTTAAAACTCCTTTGAATTGTAAACTTAGTTTTAACCAAGCAATAAATTTTTTAGTAACTGGCTTTCATCGTCTTTGGGAGCTGTTGATTTAAACATGGAAATTCTGGAACACATAGTTTTCTTGTATAGCTTTAATAATAATGTTCTTGGTATATATATATATAGAGAGAGAGAGAGAGAGAGAGTGCACATGTATCTGCCTTTCTCTTAAAATCCACATAATTTTATAAGCTGAATGTAGTTTTTAAAGATTGGCCTTGCATGTCTTAATATAGTATCTCCTGTTTCTAATTTAATAAAAAATAAAGCCATTTATTTGAATGCCAGTTGCTAAAAAGTTATCTTTTAAACTCTACTAGGGCTTGATTCTATTTCAAAGAATCATAGTCTTTGATTCTATTTTGTTAGAATTTATTTCACAAATGAATGTATAGTTTAATTATACCACATCCTATTGTATTTTATTCATATTTTTACATTTGCATATAAATGTAAAAACTGAAAACAAATCAAGTTGAGAAGAAAAACTTGTAAGCAGGAAACACAGCTTGATTTAGAAACAGATTATTTAAACATTTCTTAACTATTGCCCGTACCCAGGGGAGGAAATTGCCTCCATATCAGGGAAGGATATTTGCTATTTCAAAACAGAAATGACTGTTGCAGCCCCCCTATGCACCCGGGGCCATGAATTCATGCCAGGGGAAGCTGGTTCTTCTGCCTTAGCAAGCAGATGAGTAAACAAGACCCCTGGAAAAGGGAGAGTTCAGACTTAAACATGTTTGAATAATAACGTGACAGAAGTTTTCCATTTTCCTGTGACAGGTTGGGGGGTTGAGGGAAGAAACAGGGATTTGGAGACTGGAAAAACTGGGAGAAGATGAGAAAAAGGACAGCAGTCATAGCAACTTTAAGAACATTGATGATCGACATTCTGTTCTGTTCTGTTTTCTTTTCCCTAAACCTCATTAAAAATATGATTATGCATACAAAAAAATTCTTAACTATTATTTCAGCAATAAAAAATCATCTATAGAGAAACACTACAGCTGAAGTGAGAAAGTCTAATAGCAATAGTTTTTCTGTGCAGTATCCAAAGAATTATATGATAGATGATGGCTAATATATGTTTTGTGATGATTGAATAAAGCTGTCCGAATAGCCACATTGAATGATAGAATTCTTTTTTTTTTTTTTTTTGAGACAGAGCCTCAAGCTGTCCCCCTGGACAGAGTACCGTGGCATCACAGCTCACAGCAACCTCCAACTCCTGGGCTCAAGCGAGTCTCCTGCCTCAGCCTCCCAAGTAGCTGGGACCACAGGTGCCCGCCACAGCGCCCGGCTGTTTTTTGGTTGCAGCCATCATTGTTGTTTGGCGGGTCCGGGCTGGGGATTCGAACCCGCCACCTTAGGTGTACATGGCTGGCGCCTTAGCCGGTTGAGCTATAGGCGCCAAGCCGAATGATAGAATTCTTATTGAACAAATTTAAATTTAACAAATTAAATGAAACATAGAAGTATAGTGTCCCTATTAATGATTAATTCCCACATTCTCAAGACCTACTTTTACTCTAAAATTATACTGGCTAATATGCCAGTATTTAAATGTTTTGATTTCAATTAATTAAAAAACAATTTTTAATTTAAAAATTAAATTAGAATGTTAATTCCTTAGTCACACTAGCAAATTTTCAAGTATCCAGTAGCCTTATGTGACCAGTGGCTACTTATTGGACAGCATAGACAAAAAAAACATTCTTACCCTTAAAGAAAAGTCTGTTGAACTTTGGCTGCTTAAGAGGAATTGTTGTTTGCCTGAGTTCCCTTTCATTCATATGATGATGGTCTGCCTTTCCAAATGAGGAGAAGGCCACTTCAGAGGAGCTTCTGTGTTTCTGCTCTGCCCGCCTGGTTCCCCACTTCCCATCCACCAGCATGGTTGGAATAAAGTGAGGGAGGGGCAGAGCAGTGATGGCAGAGGAGTAATTGCATGCACCTGTGGCACATAACCCTTTGCCTGTGGTAGACCCCTCAGTCTGCAGTTCTCTTCTCCCAAATATTCACATGATGTTTTTGTCTCACCTTTTTCTGTTAAGAGGACTGAAATTTTTTCTCCTCAGCCAGGCCTTCCCTGACCATACTTTATTTAAAATTGCAGTCTTGTCCCCACCAGGGGTACTCTCTATCCCTCTTTTTTTCTTTGTACTTAGTGTTGATCATCACCTGACGTGCTGTGTGATGTGTTTCGCTTACTTCTTTATTGAATGTTTCCTTCCAGTAGGATATTGGCTCCATGAGGGGAAGGACTGCTGTCTGTTTTGCTCCCTGCTATATCCCCAGAACAAAGAACAGGGTCTAGTATATAGTAGACTTTTAATAACTATTTGTGGAATGAATGAGTGAATGCATGTGTTCTAAAAAGGTAACATAAGACGAGATAGTTTACTTCCTAAGAAGACATTAAAAATAGTAGTGTAAAAAAACTATCCTAGTTTTGTGAAAACACAATAAGATGAAGTCGTACATGCATGTGAGTTTTCGGGGTTTGAGGAAGAAAGAGATATTGAGGTAATTTTTGGTGTATCCTTAATGATGTATAAATACATAATCTATATATATTACTCATTTTGGATTAGCAAATAACAGTGGATTTTAAAAGATGATTTTCATATCTCTCTCATGTATAGTTTTTGGGTTTTAAAATAATTCAGCATGTATAGTCTCACAAATATTTAATGACTTTTGTGCATATAAAAAAGTTATCAAATTCATTCTTTGGACTTATTTTGTTCAAAGTAGTGTTGCTGCTCTTCAGTACCTATCAACAATCTACAATAAGCTGGACTCTTTACTAAAAGAACATACTGTATTTTCTTACGTTACAATTACAATGTGTAGACTAAGTTTTTGTCAGGAAAATGATATTTGTCACATTCATGGAGTTTTGCCTTCCCTAGACACAGGTGATGGGTGGGAATAATATTTGAGGTTGTTTGATTTGGCCATAGGCACTATGAACAACTTTACCCACACTCTGCCTATCTGCCTATCTGCCTCCTGCTGCTGTTTTGGCTTGTAACCCCTGCACAGATTCTGGGGCTGTCCCTTTTGGGAAATCACCAACACCACAGTGCCTTGCCAGGAAAGCCTCAATACCTACCAGACACAGCAGGGACATTTCTCCAGCTCAGTGTCTGGTCAGTGCCTATACTCTCAACTATGCCAGAGAATGGATCAGAAAGCTGAGGCAAGGGCTAGAAATCACAGCAGGAGATTAGCCTGTGGGCAA